GAAGAAGTTCGCGTACCATAACTGTAACTGGAAACAAAAATTGGGAAACACATTTGGCGCTTGGCTAAAACTACTGCCACCTTATTCTTTTTTTTTTGTAGGAGGAATGCAGGGCAGCAGTTACATTATTGTTCACCAGGAGGGCCAGTAAGGTGCCTGTTTTCATAGCTAAAAGGAAAAGAGTAATCTAAGAATAGAAAATGCAGTAAACATTATTGAAGGCCATATTGACGAGGTTTCATTCTGTCAGGGACAGAGACCATACAAAATCACTGGATTACATTATACGGGGTTTTCGCCCATGGTCAAGTCCTTAGTCTTAATATCAATTCTGTAGTACCGAGCAATAATATTTTATCAACTACAGAAGTGTGAACTTCCAGACTAGAAGAACATCAGAAGATGCAATTCTTCGATGTATTTTCCTTTATTTAGTAGTGGGTACAACATTTTAGAAGAGTTGTATACCTGGATAGTGAGCATGGCAACATTATCTGGCAAGCTATAGGAAGGAGCCATTGCTGAAAATTTTCCAACATGAGAGTTAACATAGTCATCTTAATCCTGAAAAGCGTGACAAATATGAGGATAGTAGATCAGAAAGACTAAATTACCAGCCCGGAGCTTAACCTGTTCTGAAAATGATACAAGAAGAGGAGAATATATCTCCTGGCCAAATGACCATTGCCACTTAGCTCCCTCGCCTTTTGGATCAATTCTAAGGCAAAACTATCCTTGAACCTGTCAAAAGTTGGCAACCACATGAGTGATTCCGTCATGGCCTAAGCTGATTTCCTATCAAACGTAACTCTTATATCCTATACAAGATCGATCTAGTACACCAAGATGACAACGTTGCTGATAAAAGTTGGATTAATATAACAACCAACAAAAGTGCAAATAATAAATTAGAATCCTAAAGTACCATTTATGGTTGGAAATCTATTGCGTCTCAGCAACACAAGTCTTTTCTACGGCTCTTTTCCAACAAGAGGTAGTGCCATAAATATTACAGAATGACACCTTCTTGAACCCTATTGTTCAGAATATAATCATTCATGTAAGTGATGTTCAAAAAATTTACTATATGTCATAATATTTGTCTTTGAAACATCAGATCGTCGTAGCATAGTGACAAAGTAACCAACAATATGACGGGAATACAGGGGTAAAAAATGTTCTGGTCATTGTATTAATACTAACTCTCCAAAGCATTAGATAATATGGTGCGTAAACCACCAGATAGTTAATAAAGCACTAAGCTTAGTTACACATGCATGTGCAAATAGACTCTTTTACCTCGTAAAATAACAAAACTTATGACATCAAATGATTAAATAAAAATATTACGCAGCATAAATGTGTGTGTATTATATATATATATATATATTATAATAATATATGTATAATATTTATATATATATTATATATATATCATTATATATAATATTTCAGTTTGGTTTGTAAAAATTTTCATTACACATATATATATATATATATATTAATATATATATATAAATATATATAATATATATATATATTATAATAATATATATATATTATAATGACATGAATATGTACAAACAATTCAAGATTTATTAAGAAATTATCATATTTTCCAAACCAAAACATTTGAACATCTTCATGGGCAATTTAGTAATTAATAGAATTTTTTTTATATCTTTCTAAGAGGTGAAAACTGTGAGATGGACATGCATCAAATTTGATTGCAATTGTAGAAACCCCACCCAAAGAGTTGTAGTTGTAATGATAGAGCTAGACTGCAACAAGAAACACGACAAACAAGGAAAACAAGAAACGTAATAAGTTGTCAAAATTTTAATTTAGGTCATACTGTATATTTTCAAAGTAGAAAAACGTTGAATTCTGTCTCGATTGCACTTTACTCGACTACTAAGGAGCAGACTCTAAGGCATGAATTACTAGGTTCTAGGTAAGAATGTTCTTTGATGGAGTCAAATTCAATGACTGTTGTTTTTACATATGTTGCATAAAGGAAGGGAGGAATCGATCTAAAAGCATCAAAATATTTTCTCTTTACTTAATGAGATCTGAATAAAGTCGGCTTACTGTTAATCCTTCACATGCATCATTTGCATAGACTGTTTCATTAAGCACCTCATCAAGACCAAAACCATCTTCATGAAGCAACGTCCTATAAAATCGGTGGAAAAAAGTATATGTATACAGATCAAAACTAAATTTTGCGCAATGAATCTGTTGACATATTAGAATAGTTAAGGGGTTATTTGTAAGATGTATTTGTAGGGGGCCTATATAAGCCCATGTTATTTCATTAATAAGATTAGGGTTTCTTCATATATTTCAACTTGGTATCAGAGCCACCAGCCCTTCCTCCAACCGGCCACCCCCCCACCGGACAACCTCCCTCTACGTAGCCCTCCCCCCATCGGCACGCCCCCGTCAGCCCCACTCACCACGGCACCCATCACCCCCCTTTGTTGACAAAACCCCCTCCTATTCGACAACGCCCCACTTGTTCGACAACAGCCCGCCCCTCCCCCCCCCTTCGATCCGACAACCCTACCGCCACTTTTTTGTTCCCTCGATCAGCCCCCCTGTTTCATCCGACCTCAGCCCCCCCCCTTGTTCATCCGCACATCAGCCTCCCCCCCTCCCACCCTTTGATCGCCTCTTGCTGCGCCATGCCGGACCTAGAGTTTGGCATGGGTTCCCTCGACTCAGTCCTCGAACTGATGACAGGAAGAGTATATATCTCACATCGATGAGATATATAACTGTTTTTGGTTCTTGTTTCCTCTGAGAAACAAGAATTTGTTTGCGATCCTACCCTTGTTGTGCAGCAGAGGTGCTGCCGAAATTTTCACTGCACACAACAAGGATCGAAAGAGTAGGTGACCAGGTGTTGGGTCTGAAGCCTGTTCGATGGAGGAGATAATCAAGAAGTTGAACCTTGCGGAGGTGTCAACTTTGATGAAGCTAATAAAGTTGTCGGCTGGTGAGAGCGCGATAAAACCATCGAAGAAGTTGGACCTTCCGACCATCGATCTGAAGCTGGATGGACCTAGTACGTACCTGAGATGGTCACGGCGGGTAAGATATACCCTTGCAGGGAGGAATCTGGAGGGTTATCTGACAGGAGAGGTGACAGAGCCGGAGGAGGACTCAGAGGGAAGAGATGAGTAGAAGTCCACTCATATGTTGGTGTACATCTGGCTTCTCAACTCGTTGGTCCCGACGATCGTCGCCACAGTGGATGGCATTGAGAAGGTGAAGGATGTCTGGGAGAAGTTGAGGAGGACATATGATGGAGTGGGGAATAACCTGAGGGTATTCCAGATTAAAGGAGAGATCGACGCCACAGTCCAGGGAGAGAGGACTGTACAGGAATATGCTACAGAGTTGGAGCGCCTGTGGCTGGATTATGATCATTTTTCCCCCCGGGCTAGCTGCAAGAACCCAGGATGTAAAGAGCGGGAGACCTTTCTATAGGAGAGGACTATGGTGTTTCTCAAGGGATTGACATCAGAGTTCACTCAGCGAATCACATTGCTGCTAGCTCAGCCGAAGATTCCCACGCTTGAGGAGGCTGTCTCTGCTATGATCCAGGAGGAGACTCGCATTCGGCTGCAGGCGGGGACAGATGGACTTCCTGTGGTGAAGTCAG